AATATGAATGTTAACAGCAGTCAGAATTGAATTTGCACAACATTGGAAAAGTGTGGAGATCCCTACAGAAGATAATAATAATAATAATAATAATAATAATAATAATAATAATAATAATAATAATAATAATTATGACAGGCACTTGGTCCACAACACACCTGACATAACAATAGTTGAAAAGAAAAAAAGTATGGTTCATTGACATTGCAATACCTGGTGATGCACGAATTGAAGATAAGCAGCAAGAAAAAATCACAAAGTACCGGGACTTACAAATTGAAGTTGAGCGACTGTGGAAGAAGAAACCGTGTGTTGTCCCGATTCCAATTGGAGCAATACCCAAAGGGCTACCCCGCTATTTAGAAATTCTAAATTTGCCGGACTTGAACATTTTGACTCTACAAAAAACCACCTTACTCGGAACAGCTTACATCCTCCGACGATACCTTAACAGTTCCTAGGTCCTTGGTTAGGACTCGAGCTGCTGAGCTATTAACCAGCCTCAAAGGCTGTGAATCTCACTAAAGATTAACCAATAAATAATAATAATAATAATAATAATAATAATAATAATAATAATAATAATAATATACTAGAATGTGCAGAGGACTACCTGTATGTGTATAGGCACTTGGTCCACAACACACCTGACATAACAATAGTTGAAAAGAAAAAAGTATGATTCATTGACATTGCAATACCTGGTGATGCACGAATTGAAGATAAGCAGCAAGAAAAAATCACAAAGTACCGGGACTTACAAATTGAAGTTGAGCGACTGTGGAAAAAGAAATCGTGTGTTGTCCCGATTGTAATTGGAGCCCTTGGAGCAATACCCAATAATTAACCAATAATTAATAATAATAATAATAATAATAATAATAATAATAATATACTAGAATGTGCAGAAATGGATAGATTAACACTTGAAATTAAAGAGAAACAAGATACGGAATACTTTGAAACATGGGATTTGTTTTATCAATGATTAACTAACAGAAACAGAAGTTAGAACATTTAAAGAACATGTAAAGAGAAGGATTAATTTTACTATGAGGGCTTATTACGATATGTTTGTTATTGATATGAATTAGTATTAATGATTAATAAGTATCAATATTATGACGTGAAAACACTGTTATTGTATGACCACTACTAATGAACATTATTACTGGTATTATGATGATGGTGATCATTGCTCAAATTGACTGTAACCAGATAAGACACTGTTTATATAGACATTGAAACTGTTGCTCTTTCTATATATTGCAAAAGTTTAAAAAAAAAATTAAAAAGAAAAAAGAAAACCGACTCTGAAAGTTCCCGTGGTTTTCACCTGCTTAAAAAGTAAAAATTCCCCGTTTCCCCAAACAATCAGTCACATTGTCCAATCAACGTGCTGGCTGGTTGCATGGTAACTGGACTCCTCCTCACTATAGCCACTTATTGAAATGTCCTTGGTTCCCACAGGAAACTTTTGTTTTGGCTACAAACCCCCATCTAACTATGTTCCAGGGGTGAAATGCTACCGGTTCGGACCAGTTCTGCCGTCCAAGTAGGGAAACTTTTGACTGGTTCGGAGAACTGGTAGGGATCATTTTGATTGGCTCCACCCACCTCTCCTCCCCTTCCGCTCACTTCTCCTATATTCTGTTGTTTATTAGCTCAACTGATTCGTGCGGCAGAGCGATTGGTGCCTTAGCTGAGCTGAATCCTAATCTCATTTGCCCTCAGCTAGAATAATAAAGGGACACTTTCTACTGCTTTTTCTCCTCCCCTCCCAACCCCAAGCAGGGAAAGGAATACTAGCTTTAATGAAATGTCTGGCCGTTCAACCAAGAGCAATTATCACCTCCTTAAAATGTTGCGAAATTGCAAACCACCTTGGACAAAGCATGTGCGCCATTTCCTCCTCTCAGTAGTCCATGAAAGTGCATCTATAGCGTGTAGATAATAAAGTTGAAAAAAGGTGAACAACATTTTTACAGAACTATACATATGTTGATGCTGGGTATGACAAGGAATGGCTGGGAGGGGAGGGGCCAGATGAGGCACCCCTTGACGTGAGTGACATTGAGTTGGCCACGCCCACCCTGTCACATGACCACCAAGCCATGCCCACCAAGCCACGCTCACAGAACCGGTAGGGAAAATTTTTAGATTTCACTACTGCTATGTTCCTCCTCTCTATCCCTTCTTCACACTGTGGCAACCCTAAAGCCTTCAAAATGGCCTCAGCCAGGTTTGCTTCAGAGTTTAGTTTAGTTTAGTTTAGTTTAGTTTAGTTTATTAAATTTTTATACCGCCCTTCTCCCAGGGGGACTCAGGGCGGTGTACAGCTAAGATAAAACCAACAATACAAAAGTTAAAATCAATTTAAAATTATTAAATAGTTTGGCCGATCGTCCAAGAGTTGACAATGCGATCATTACATCTGAAAAAAAGCACAATGCCATAACATGTAGAAGTTAAACCTGAATATCAACTTCAAAGTCCCATCAATAACAAATCATCTCAATTTCTTGCAAAACACAACCCATTGTACATGAAAATGCAACTCCCGTAGGTGATGAAAACCACCACAATGTGAGACACACAAGTGGAGAAAGCTTTTTGCCTGCCCGCCTCAGAAGGGATGTGCAGGACAGCCGCAATGATTTTAATGTAGGAAATGATTGTGATGGCAAGAGTCTCCAGCACAGTAAAGGTGGCCATGAGAAAATCCATCAGTTCCAGAAATTGGGTGTCGGTGCAGGCCAGCTTGATCAGTGGCATGTTGTCGCAGAAGAAGTGATTGATGACATTTGGACCGCAGAAGGGCAGATGAAATAACAGAATCAGAATTTCCTGTATTCATAATCATGTTTATACTTATATCTGTTATCTTATTTATTTATTTATTGTATTTATTTATTTATTTTATATCCAATTTATATACCGCCCTTCTCCCTGAGGACTCAGGGCGGTGTACAGCTGAATAAAAACATAAATTACAAACATTAAAATAGTATTAAAAGAACATATATAAATTTGGCCCCGTAGTTTAAGAACAATAACAAACCCATTTAAAACATTTAAAAATTAAGAAAAAAAAGTTAAGCCAGCCCGGCTTGCTGAAAAAAAGAGGGTTTTAAGGGCACGGCGGAAGGCACCGAGGTCTTGGATCTTATATATGCTTGACAAAAATAAATAAATAAAGATAAATAAAGATGGGAGGTCGCTACCGACGACCTCCCATCGACCCGTGCGCTCCCACAGAGAGGGCCTCCTCGGGGTGCCATCAGCCAAACAGTGTAGGCTGGTGACCCCCAGGGGGAGGGCCTTCTCTGTGGGGGCACCTACCCTCTGGAACCCGCTGCCCCCAGAGATAAGGAGAATCCAAGACCTCAGTGCCTTCCGTCGTGCCCTTAAAACCCATTTTTTCAAGCAAGCCGGGCTGGCTTAAGAAGAAATTTTTAAATGTTTTAATTGGTAGTGAGTTTTAATTGGGCCAAATTTATATATCTTTTAATTGTTTTTTAATATCTGTACTGCATGTTTTTTTAATTCTGGCTGTACACCGCCCTGATTCCTCAGGGAGAAGGGCAGTATAGAAATTCAATAAGAAAGAAAGAAAGAAAGAAAGAAAGAAAGAAAGAAAGAAAGAAAGAAAGAAAGAAAGAAAGAAAGAAAGAAGCTATGTAAATAAAAATAAAGAACTGTAGAATAGAATAACAGAGTTGGAAGGGACCTTGGAGGTCTTCTAGTCCAACCTCCTGCTTAGGCAGGAAACTCTATATCATTTCAGGCAAATGGTTGTCCAATCTCTTCTTAAAAACATCCAGTGTTGGAGCATTCACAACTACTGAGGCAAGTTGTTCCACTGATTAACTGTCCTAACTATCAGAAAATTTCTCCTTAGTTCTAGGTTGCTTCTCTCCTTGATTAGTTTCCACCCATTGCTTCTTGTCCTGCCCTCAGTTGCTTTGGAGAGTAGCTTGACCCCCTCTTCTTTGTGGCAGCCCCTGAGATATTGGAACACTGCTATCATGTCACCCCAGTCGTTCTTTTCATCAGACTAGACATACCCAATTCCAGCAACCATTCTTTACATGTTTTAGCTTCCAATCCCCTAATCATCTTTGTTGCTGTTCTCTGCACTCTTTCTATTGGACTGTGTTGTGTAGGATGCACATATAGGACCAGTTTATGACATTTATTTAAGCAGAACAAAGCAATGGCAGGAGTTGGAGGCTGTAGATTCTGCTTCAGAAGAAGTTTAGAGCTTTGAGGTTGCCTTAGATGAAGACATTTGACCTAGCAGGTCATATAGTATGTAACCAGGTGTCTTTTGTCAACTCACAACAGACAGGGGGGCCATTGTCTCTTTCCATTATTCTTCACCAGCAACCCGTACTTCAGGAATCCAGCTTTTGATATCTATCAGATGTCTCAGTCCCTAATTACCATTTATTATTTATTGTTAGTTCAATTTATATGCCGCCTTTCTCCGAAGACTCAGGGCGGCTTACAATGCATTTAAAAAACCATTATAAAAACATTTAAAAATTAAAACATTAAAACCCATTCACACCATTCATGGCCGGATCTCATAAGATCGCAACAGCGAGATCAATGGCCCCAGGCCTGCCAGAAAAGCCAGGTCTTCATCACTTTTCGGAAGGCCAATAGGGTGGGGATGGTCCGGACCTCAGGAGGTAACTGGTTCCAGAGAGCTGGGGCAGCCACAGAGAAGGCCCTCCTCCATGGGCCTGCCAGCTGGCCATTGTTTAGCTGACGGGACCCAGAGGAGACCAACTCTGTGGGATCTTACTGGTTGCTGGGAGCTATGTGGTAGAAGACGGTCTCGAAGATACATGTCCATTATGTATTCTCAAGTCCATTTCTAAAATTATCTCAGTGGGGATCATTACATCCAAGAGCAGCACAGGGGATAGCTGAACAAAGCATTCTAAGAAGTTCAATTTGAACACTTGCTACAGAACCATGTCCATAGCCAATCACCTCAATTTCTTGTAAAACCCAATCCATTGTCTCAGTTCGGTCCTCAAAGCATCTTGCACTTGTTTGTTCCTCAAACAGTATATGATGGGGACCAGAAGAGGACTAACAACTGTATTCAGAAGAGCCACCATTTTGTTGTATTCTAATCCGCTGGTGCCCTTTGGCTTGATGTACATGAAAATGCAACTGCTATAACCGGTGGTAACCACGGTCATGTGAGAAGCACATGTGGAGAAGGTTTTCTTCCTCCCTGTAGCGGATGGGATGCGCAGAATGGTGGAAATGATTTTGACGTAAGACACAATGTTGACACTTAAGGTCCCAAGCAGAGAGAATATGGCAGCCACAAAATGAATCATTTCGAGGAAGCTGGTGTCAACACATGCCAGTTTCATTAGGGGTCCATTGTCACAAAAGAAATGATTCATGATGTTAGGACCACAAAACGGCATCAGAAATAAAGGAATACATACAACTAGAATTAGTGATACTCCCCCAACCCAACAACAAAGTACCAATAATGAGCAGATTTGTTCATTCATGATGGTTGGGTAATGAAGAGGATTACAGATGGCTATGTATCGATCAACAGACATTATGGCCACGAGAAGGAATTCCGTGGTACCCAGGACCAAATAAAGAAATAGTTGTATGAAGCAACCCGCTAAAGAGATGCTCTTGGTGCCAGTAGCCATGTTGGCCAGTGTTTTAGGAATGGTGGTACTTGTATACCCAATATCTACCCATGCCACATGTCGGAGGAAGAAATACATTGGGCTACAAAGCTCTGCGTTCAGCATTGTGATAATAATAATCAACATGTTTCCTATTAATGTCAAAAGATAAATCCCAAGCAGGACGAGAAAGAGGCCAACTTGAAACTGAAGGTTGTCCGTCAGCCCTAGCAGTATGAATTCCTGTATTAAAGTCCCGTTTGCCATTAGTTCGTTCCTAAAAATAGAGTGGAAAAAAATTAATCTCCAAAATCTAATTTTTCTTTTAATGACTTATTCGAAAGGGACATCATTTCATTGGTTTTCATTGTTAATATTAAAATTAGAGAAGAAAAAAAAAAACCTGATGATTTAAATAAGAGCAAGATAGTTTTTATATATTTATTTATGGATTTTATTATATTTATATCTTATTCCACATTTGAACTATGGTGCTGGAGAAGACTCCTGTTCTCCCTTGGACTGCAAGGCGATCAAACCGGTCAGTCCTAGAGGAGAACAACCCTGACTGCTCTTTAGAAAGACAGATCCTGAAGATGAGACTCAAATACTTTGGCCACCTAATGAGAAGGAAGGACTCACTGGAGAAGAGTCTAATGCTGGGAAAGACGGAGGGCAAAAGAAGAAGGGGACGGCAGAGAACAAGGTGGCTGGATGGAGACACTGAAGCAGTCGGCATGAGCTTAAATGGTCTCCCGGGGATGGTAGGGGACAGGAAGGCCTGGAAGAATGTTGTCCATGGGGTCGTGATGGGTTGGACACGACTTTGCAACTAACAACCACATTGGGTAATTCTTGCATCAGCTGTACATCCAACTTGCAGTTAATGGGCCTGGTGGCTCAGCAGACTGATGGCATTGTGATTAACACCAGCTGTCTGCAATTACTGTAAGTTCGACTCTCACCAGGCTCAAAGTTGACTCAGCCTTCCATCCTTTCTAAGATAGGTAAATTGAGGACCCAGTTTGTGGGGGCAATAAGCTGACTTTGTATAAATATACAAAAGAATGAAGGCTATTGCTTAATGCATTGTAAGCCGCCCTGAGTCTCCAGAGAAGGGCGGCATATAAATCAAATAAAAAAAAATGCTAAAAGAGAAATATCTGGTTTTTAACTGTCCCAAAGGCGCTTTTTCAAAAGGCAACTAGACTGTTTTTTTTCTTGAGGAAGAAGAAGTTGTTCTTCTCATCCAAGAAGTTTCATCAGTTGTGATGGAGAATCTCCACAGACATCCAGTTTTTAACCTATCGAAAACAATTAACTCTTGTCAAGGAAAGATGAACTGGGAATGTCTAGTTTGATGAAAAGAAGGACTAAGGGAGACAGGATAGCAGTGTTCCAATATCTGCTATTCTATTCAGAGAAGAATAGAATTCTTCTAAGAATAGAATATCTATTCTAATGGAAAGAAGGACTAGGGAAGACATGATAGCAGTGTTCCAATATTTGTGGGGCTCCTACAAAGACGAGGAGGTCAAACTATTTTCCAAAACACCAAAAAGCAAGACGAGAAGCAATGGATGGAAACTAATCAAGGAGAGAAGCTACCTAAAACTAAGGAGAAATTTCCTGACAGTGAGAATAATCAACAGAGGAATGGCTTCAGAAGTTTTGGATACTCCATCACTGGAGGCTTTCAAGAAAATATAGGGTCTCCTGCTCAAGCAGGGGGTTAGACTCCAAGACCTCCAAGGTCCCTTCCAACTCTCTTATACTTTCTTTTATGAACTAGGTTTAATTTATGTTTGCTTCTAAACCAGCCTCAAATATTATACATTAGAAATTATCTGATTTAATCTACCTCTTTTGAACTCTGCAAACCATTTCCTAGTTTCAGAGAGCAATATTACAGCTAACCACTCTCGAGAACTAAACATTTTTAAAAATTGTAAAAATACTCACCCCTTGCAAACTGCACTAAGAATTATTCACAAATTGTTCAAGATCTTTGTGGAATTCATCCTCAGGTTCATACTGGTAAAATCAATATTCTAGATTATTAGGGTATGTTTCATGCAAATCAGAGGCAAAACAACAATATCTATCAAACTTTTATTCCCTAATTTATTTAGGGTTGCCAGGTCTGCTTCCAAAAAATAGCGGATAAGGGGGGGGGGGGGGGGGGGGGGGGGTTAAGTAGTAAAAAAATTAAAAAAAATTACAATTAAATTATATATTTTCTTACAAACATTTTAACACGTATTAAAATAATCACTTCAAAACTTTACTTAAAATTCAAAACATCAAATATATTATAATAATATGTAAAATATTAAATTGCATTTTACTTTGCTGTCGTGTGTATTTTTTATTTGACTGCGCAGCTTTGATCAATTCTTTGTGTTTAAGGAATAATTCTTTAATTTCAGGACAACATTGAGAAATATTAAAAAATATACAATCATAAAGCTTTTGAATAAAAAAAAAATGTCCACTATTTTGTGAAAAAAAATAGTGAACATAATGTGAAAAAAGCAGACTGTCTGCTCAAATAATGGACACCTGGCAACCTTAAATTTATTTTTGCCAGGCAGTATTTTTACCACTTAACAATATACATAAAACATATTCAGGATGTCCCAAAGGTGATATTGTTTTTTCTTTCCCCTCTTGAAAAGGCACTTTTGGGACAACGATGACTTGGATGACTGAGAATCTCCATAGATATAACATATTTAGAAAATTTTCATGATCTCTCTGTGCTATTATCTTATATTTTTCTGTTAGTCACAGCCTTTTTTCTAGATTGTGAAATTGTGCTGATTTTGCTTATAAATGGGAGGCAAAGCAAATGCATCTGTTAAAACATTACCCCTTAATTCAATGTTTGGGAAGCATAATTTTCTCCATTCTCAGTGCTTTGGAAGAAATGCCTTGTCTTCTTGGCTCACGGATGTATCCTCAATGCAGTTTTGCTGCCTCCTTCTTCTGTATCTTTTCTGAGCAATGATCATGGAAGCCACCTCTTATAAGCAATAGGAACCTAGTTACTGTTTTGAAGCATAATAATGTACAGTATATATTCCAGACTAAGTGGGAAGATCCCACAGGGACTTCTCAAGGAGCAAAGAAGCCTATTGTGAATTGCAAGAAATATCTATCATGCATTCTCTATCTGCTTCCTCAAACCCACATACCAAATTCATATCTTTGACTGCTTGTGCAGTCTCTACTTTGAGTCCTGAAAGTAGTAATCCTACAGATGTTCCTATGATTTATTGGTCTATCTGTCTGCTCTCAAAATAAAGTGTGTATATATATACCTATACATAATACACATACTGTATACACATACAGGTAGTCCTCTGCTTATGACCACAATTCAGCCCAAAATTTATTTTGCTAGATGAGAAATTTGTGAAGTGAGTTAAGGGCAGTTAACTAAACTCTGCTGAACATGTTACCTAGCCTGGTAATGAAACATTCGGAATCCAACCCACAAGCTCAGAGTGTTGTGGTCCGCCAGCAGCGGAGTCGGACAGTGAGGAAGCTGGGGAGGACAATGGGCCAGTCCTGGAGTCAGGGGAAGGCCCAGATGAGGGCTCTGCGTCAGAGGCAGAGATAAGGCCAGGGCCATCTGGGAGTGATGTGCGGACTCCGGAGCCTCCAGAGCAGGGGTGAAATGCTCCTGGTTCAGACCGGATCACCCGATCCGGTGGCGATGACGGCAGGTGGTTCAGAGAACCGGTAGCAAAAATCCCTGCTCCCCCTCCCACCATGCCCAGCTGAGCCACACGATCATCAGAGGCTATTTTTTTTTTTACTTTTAAAAGCATTTTTTCTACAACCTCTTCTGCCGTAAAAAATGCTTTTAAAAGTAAAAAAAAAATAAAGCCTCTGCTGATCGCACGGCTCAGCTGGGATCGTCAGAGGCTTTTCAAAGCATTTTTTCCTGCAACCTCTTCGGCCGAAGAGGTGGTAAAAAAAATGCTTTGAAAAGCCTCTGATGATCCCAGCTGTGTTGCCTGATCGGCAGAAGTTTTTCAAAGCATTTTTTTTGCAACCTCTTCGGCCGAAGAGGTTGTAGAAAAAATGCTTTGTAAAGTTAAAAAAAAAAAGGTTGGCCACGCCCACCCAGTCACATTACCCCACACACACACCAAGCCACGCCCACAGAACTGGTAGTAACAAATTTTACATTTCACCCCTGCTCCAGAGGCGGACAGCAGAGAGGCAGAGGAACAGGAGGAGCCTGTTCCTAGTGCACGCATGCGAAGAGCTGCCAGAAGGCAAGAGCAGCTGAAGAAAAAAGGACAACTTGGGAGTAAGGCAAGAAGATGATTGGCTTCTCCCAGAAAGCTTGAAATAACAGCAACGAGCTGTTGGGTTCTTTGTAGAAAAGCAACGTTGATTCCCATGCTTCTTGTCAGCGTCTCTTGAACTTTGTGGGGGTTTTGCCAAGAAAAGCCTTTGGCAGGTTGCCAAAGACATCAAAGGTTGGTGATAAGGCCGCTAGACTGGTTATTAAGAATTTTGTTTTGGACTAAGCTGAGAATGAATTAATTCTCAGCTGTTTTAATAAAATAAGTTTATTGGGGACAGAATTGTTTTTGGTAATCACTACTTAGGCATTGGTCACAACAAAGAGAATGAATCTCCACCTTCATCCTATGCTCGAACTAGATATATTCACCACAAACAAATGTGTGTCAACTCCATGGTTATCTACGCTACTGTAGATTGCGACCTTGAAGGAAGGACATCATTGTGTTGAAAAGTTGATCTTAGCATGGGCACTCCAAAATACTACAGTCCTTTCCATTTCATTTTCTTTACCCTCTTCCATTCTATCTTTCTCTCAGCCTTATTACATAGAGTTGATATTCTATTTAGAGCCAAAGTCATCAGTTTGAAGTAGCCAGAATGCAATGGTTTCTAAAAATTTAATTATAGGTTGTTGTTGTTTTTTATTTAGTGAAATACAGCAACAGCAATAACAACAAAAGCCCTGTATATTTTCCAAAGGGAAACAAAAAGACATAATTTAGGTCTACTATGCAAAAAAATTAACTTAGATCAGGGGTCAGCAACCTGCAGCTCTGGAGCCACTTGTGGCTCTTTCACCTTCTGCTGTGGCTCCCTGTCACTCAAAATATGCATCACAACCACCAATGTGCGACACCCGCCGGCACATGATTTATTGAGCTTTTCAACCCCCAGTAGGCCAACCATGGATAAATCCAAGAAAAGAAACGTTTCAGAAGAAA